TCTAGTATATACTACATACGCTCTAGGAATATCCTTAATACAAGTAATACCTTGAATATACCATATGTATCTTGTATACATATATATTCATTATGCACTGTCCGTTCAGGAACAGTTCTATATATAGGAGTAGTCCCATTCCTACCCACTTTCATCTAGCTCATCTTATTTCACTTGTATTTCTAAGGGGTATTTCGAGCAAAATATAGAAATAGAAATAAAGTATATACAATAATTTAAATTGCTTTACAATGAAACCCTAAAATGTCAATAGAGTCTCGCTATTTGCTTTTTCTATTTATTCCATGCAAGCGAAGCCCCTGCTCCGCCCCTTTTCTCAGACCCAAGGCCCGTACCCGCCTCTTGTGTAGCTGCTGCCACCCTCTTAGTATGCAAAGTGCCGCTTTGCATTTCTTTGGCTCTGTTGTTGGGCACTGTTTTTGGGCTTTTTCCCTCTTATTTCGTATTTTTTTTTTTCAGTTAGTGGTGGACGCATTGAAAAGAAGTGGATAATAAAGTCTGGAGTCTTACAAGGCTGGCCATCAGTCTGCGCCCTTTGCCATGCAAATGGACTCCAAGGCGCCAGCGTGTGAGTAATGAGGCCCGCCATGTCCGAGTCTCTGCGCCAGCATTCCATCACATTAATAGCGGCAGCAATCAAGTCCACAACAGAGCTTTCATTTAACTCGACGAGTAACGAGTTAGCTAAGAATTAGTGTAACTACTGCTCTAAGCATCCCAGCGATTACTCAGTACTCGCTGATCAAACTACTCGTTATATTTCGCATGAACTGCATGAATACTTTCATGAGTAAAGAGTGACGAGTAACTAAAAACAAGTAACGAGTAAGGGGCAACGAATAAAGCGTAATGAGAGAGCGAATCGAGTAACGAGTAATGATAAGAAATGCTGTCGAACGAGTAAAAAGTAATATACATATAACTAGAACCAAGTACTTGATTAACGACAATGATCTACGATTAACAAGAACAAAGCGTGAGTAACGATTAGCCAATTGATTCTAACGAGTAGGAGGCACTGAGTATTCTAGCCAAGTCTCAGTTAAGATCTTATGGCATAGCTGTCTAATAGATCTTGTCCCACACAATTGTACTCGCTCGAATTCCCACTCGCTACTTATCACTCGCTGTTCTCGTCGCTTTAGAGGCTCATTTAGCTGTCTGACTGGACACAATTGACCAAATTTTGCTAAGCAAATGCGTGTCATGCCCTGAAGGGGGTTGATGATGAGGTTGTTTATGTGCTGACTCCTGCTACCAGCAGACGACGAGCAGGCGTTGCCAGACATGTACAAATTATAATGCACATGTGTAAGTGTGTGTGTGTGTGTGTGTGTGTGTGTGTGTGTGTGTGTGTGTGTGTGTGTGTGTGTCTGCGTGTGTGTTGAATAGTTGATACAATTGATGATTTGTACATAGGACTAGAGATGGCTGCAGTTGAGCAAGCACAAAAGGTCATGAACTCAAGCAACTAGAGAGAAAGACAAAGAGAGAGTGAGAGAGAGAGAGAGAGAGAGAGAGAGAAACTTGAGCTTATCTTAAGACTTGTAAATGTTCGCTTTGAAACTGCTGAGTCATTACATATGTGAGCAGTAGCCATGAGTGGGTGACTGTGGTGCCAAAGTGGGACAGCCTTAACTCATCCACAACGACAACAACAACAACGACAACAACAACGCTGACATTAACACGTACATCCTGTGCTAAATATTTTCAACAGGATTTGCAGAAAAATAAAAGTGAGATGTGAGAAGCGAGAGGCGAGAGGCGGGAAGCGAAGGGCGTGAAGCGAGGGGCGGGAAGCGAGGGGCGTAGTACTTAGTAGACACAGGCGAGACACGGGCAACGAGCAGAATACGCATTAGCACTGCATTTAAAAAACATTTGTGGTTTTTATGCTTAATCATCATCAAGCTGATGATGATGCTGATGATCATTGTTGGGATTCCCAGCACGCTTGTATATATTAATAAAAATGCATTAGTTCACATTTATTTTGGACATAAAACGTGTTGGAGCAAGCAACAAGCGCGACCCCTCCTTCGCCTCCCGTGGGGCAGTTTGACTTCGTTGAGCAGAAGCAAAAACAAAAAATAGCAAAAAACAAAAAAAAAACAAAAAAAAAAAAAAAAAAAAAAAAAGAAAAACAAAAGCGCTGCAGATTTGTAGCGTAGTAGCACCACCGCAACCACCAAACCGTAAGCCATCGCTCCACTCATTTAAAGCTTAGAGACTTTTACTTTTACAGCGAACGTTTGAAAGCAAAATAATGTACATGACAACAGACGCGGCCGACATCCCTTAGCCCTTAGCCCTTAGCCCTTAGCCCTCAGCGGGGACAGCGTAACTAGTGTCATGTGGGCAGGCCAACCCACAGTGGGCCGCCCAGCCACCGATGCGACGACCTGGGCACTTTCGCTCTCGCTCGCTCGTAAATTTTAGATATTCGTAGCACGTGCAAATTATGTACAATAATAAARAAAATAAAAATAGAAATAGAAATAGAAATAAAAGCAGACAGAGATGGCGGGCAGTGAAACAACAGCGGAGCGAAAGTGAAAGCCAGCCAGAGACTACTCCAGCTGGATAGATAGCCAGATAGCTGGATAGATGTAGATGTAGATGTAGATGTAGTACAACCTGAGCCCCAGATGCGGGCGATACAAATCCAACCAAAAAACGGAAAAACGAAAAAATAAAACAGGGTCAGGCAGACAGACAGTCGCACCGGGGGACAGGGTCAGGGGGCAGGGGGCAGGGGCATAGTAGCGGAACTCGTCTGGCTGTCTGACAAGTACATAAACATGTCTGCGCCTAAAAGTCTGTTGCATTTTATATGCCTAGCCCCCCACCCCATCAGCCCAACAACAACCCGAGCTGAAACTGAAACAAGAAAAAATATTGATTTATTCAAGAAACATTTTTCAAGCAAGCGAATGTTTTGCTCTTAATAAATTTGCAGACTTATTTTTTTGCCTTTTCAGATAGTTCTTTAACTCGAGGCAAACTTTGTAAGGCATACGGAATATTCCTGCTCTCCCCCTCTCTCTCTGTCTCTTTGAGTGTATAATGGCATTTGAAGTGGGTATGAATTTCATATATCTTATATTGTTTTCATTGTTTGCTAGTGCTGATAGTAATGGAAATATAAATGAATTTCATAATTATAATTATAATAATCACAATGACAAGTTAGGATGTTCTAATCACGATTGCTCTACTAGGAGATACCCTGAAAAGAAAAAGAGCTGATATTTCTATTCATTCTACGGTTCTTTTAGGCACACGTACATTGCGTACAAAGGGCACGCCCCCTCATCTAAAATCCATAAATGACTAACTTGTGTTCATCAAATGTACACAGTAAATCTGAAATCTCTAGATCTAATATTTAGTATGCAAATTGCGCATAAAAAAAAAAAAAGAAATACATTCATCGATTATTCTCGATAAAAAGAAATGGGATGATTTATCGACAAAATATCTCTAATAATCTCTAATAAATAAAGATCAAGGCCATATGGGCCTGCGGCCGTTCCGGGACGTTCGGCGGGGACAATTACGTGTCAGATCGGGACACCAGAATATTAATACCAAAAAAGGGACATATCCCGGTATTCCAGGACGAATGGCAGCCCTAATCATGACAGTAGTTAATTTTCTATAAATTTGTTTCACAATATTATTTTGCCCTTAAATTCCGTTAGTCGCTTTCTATGGCAATAAAATTATAAACTTTCCAGCTAAAGCATATTTAAATTTCCATCTTTAAGCAAAGTACTTATAATTTTGTTTTCCTTTTGCTTCCTAAGACTCAGAAAGCTAGCAGGTATTCATTAGGAGTTTACCCACATACCATCTGGAACGAATTGTCTCCCAGAGGTGTCGCATAATATTTAACACCCAGTGAAGTTCACGCTTATCGCTTATCATTAGCAACTTGGCAACATTCAGCATCCGGCATCATCATCCTGGGCAACCGAGCCCCCACACTGCGAAAGAGCGAGAGAGAGAGAGAGAGAGAGAGAGAGAGGGAGAGAGAGAGAGAGAGAGAGAAGTGCCATAAGCTGTTGGTCTAAAATTTATAATTGTGCTCCATATTTTGTATTTCCGTATTTATGTTACGTATTTCCGCCCCGTGTTTGTTTCACGTTTCAGAACCATAACAAATTATCTCAGGTCATCAATTATGGGTGCGACACGGGCAGCTCAAGAATCAGCTCCGTTTTGTACTGTTTGGCTCTGTACATTTTTCAGTACTTTGTTTTTTGTTCTCTTGTTCTTTCTTGTGTTTGCCTCGGTTTTTTGGTTGTTCGGGCAACTTTGCTGATATTTTTATTGCTTTCATTATGATTTCATGTGGCGTGAGCACGTTCTACATTCCAATTCGTGTAGGCGAGCGGGCGGGTCTGTCGAGTGGGTCTGTTGGCGGGGAGCGGGGTCCGAGGCAACCACCAACTTTTCCGTATTGAGTCAGCGCTGACGCCCATTTGTCTAACCGAGTACTCGAGGCGCTTCACTTGGCTCTTGGGTGTTAATAATGTTATCTTTTATTTATGCCGAGTTGCTTTCTGGCTCCCACCCTCCATTTGTTTGGCCCCAGTCCTGGCCTAGTCCCCGCCTGCCCCTCTCACACGCTGTTTAAACTTTTTCGTTTTGAATGTAATTGCATTTTGTTTACCTTTATACCATTGTACCTTGTACTTTCTAACAGCTGGGAAGAGGCACACCCACTTCCCCAACGAGTGCAGAGTGGCCTATAGCTGAGGCCAGCTTGTAGCTCAGTCCACATCTACAGGGCATCTTTGAGTCCATCACAGTTTGATGCTCATTCATTTTGTGTCACTTCATGGGGGATTTTATAAATATGCTTCTCAAATTTAAAAGTGTCTCGCGCCTTGACGAAGCCCAACAACACGACTGCCTTAGCCCCCCCCAACCCAGTTGAGAAACTTTTCATTTTGTAATAAATAATTCAGTTGTCTTTTAATACATCAAACACATTAAACAAGTTCACTTAGAAAGTAGGCAAAATAAATAAATAGGTGCATGCTATGCGATATAAATAGGAGGGGCGCACGGATGCCTCGCTTAGCCCATTTTAGAAGCAGCTCACGTAAGGCCCGGAGCGAATCCTTTGGGCTGCGCTGCCTTAGGGGCTGTGGACGTATGAGCCGCCGCAGTTTTTGTAGCACAGGTAACTGGGGCGATAGCGCCATCTGCGGCAGTAGCGGCGATAACAGTTGTTGGGGTTGGGGGTAGGGGGGCTGGGCGTGGGTGGATTAGGGGTGGGAGGCGCGGGTGTGGGTGGGAAGGGTGTTGGGGGATAAGGTGTGGGAGGCTGCGGAGTCGGTGGCTGCGGAGTTGGTGGCTGTGGAGTCGGTGGTTGTGGAGTTGGTGGCTGCGGAGTTGGTGGCTCAGGTGTGGGTGGCTCGGGTGTGACAGGACAATCGTTGCCCACACTACCAATGACGCTATTCAGGGCTTGCAAATTGACCAACGCATCCAAGTTGAGATTCAGCAGCGTGACAATAGTATTCCGATTGCCTTCCACGACGTTCTCCGGTCCAGCTGTAATCAATTTCAAGTTAAAGTTTTCGCTTCAGCCACGATCTTTCGTCATGTTACTCACTGTTCAGCTCGTTGTCGAGCTTGTTGGCATTGCAGGCAGCGCTGCTGCCTCTGATCGAGTTCAGCAGATCAATCTTAGCCAGTGCCGATGCATCCAAGTTCACCAGCTTCAAGATCGTCGTATCGTTAGCCATCACAATTTGCTTGGGACCCCCTGCAAAAGGCGGTCAGTGCTTAGCCATGGCGCAGCTGAAAATGCAGCCTCTTCACTTACGGTTGACGGTGTTGGAGAAGTCATTGGCCACATTGGTTGCAGTCACGCCATCCTTATCCCAGATGTTCATGAGTAGATTTCCATCTCGATCGACCACCTGAACAATGTCGTCACGAGGAATATTGCCGCCAGTTACAGTTCCCACAACGGTGTTCAGCACATTGGCGCCGATTCCAGCTACCAAGTCAAGGTCCACTCCCTTTATGACCGTATTGCCACTTCCAGTAATCACGTTCTTTGGGCCCGCTGTTAAGCACGAATTCGGAAATTAAAACGGATCAGCTTTGATGTCTGCCGAGTGCACTTACTTGTGATGGTGTTGCCACCTTTGTTTGCAATGTTTTGGCCCGAACCGCCACCCAAAAGACCTCCGACAACACCGCCAACACCGCCAGCACCGCCAGCACCACCAGCACCGCCAGCACCTCCAGAACCGCCTGTGACTGTGCCCACAACAGAGTTGAGCAAATTAACACCCACTCCGGCGGCAATATCACCATCGACTCCAGTGATGAATGTGTTGCCATCGCCTCTAACCACATTTTTGGCACCCTCTGTTGATGGTATAAAATGTAGATTAGACGAGGTAGACTTTACATTTGCGTCGCATACACTCACTTGTGATGGTATTACCGCCTTGGTTGGCCACATTTCGGCCAGAGGATCCACCGGCACCGCCACCACCCAAGAGACCTCCGGTTGCGCCGCCCACCAGACCGCCAGCGCCTCCACCACCACCCAAGAGACCTCCGGTAGCGCCGCCCACCAGACCGCCAGCGCCTCCACCACCAGTGACACCACCCAAAACGCCTTTAGTGACACCACCCAAAAGCCCGCCAGTGACACCGCCCAAAAGTCCGCCAGTGACACCGCCCAGGGTACCGGTAACACCGCCTAACAGACCACCGACACCACCAGCGGCTGGGCTACCAGCACCAGGAGAGCCTCCAGCGCCTCCAGCGCCTCCAGCGCCTCCGCCTGTCACAGTGCCCACAACACTATTGAGCACATTGGCATCAACTCCCGCCAAAACATCCGCATCCACTGCTTTGATGATAGTATTGCCGCTTCCAGTGACAATGTTCTTAGGACCCGCTGATAAATAGAGAAGGAAGCAAAGATAGAAGGCAAGATCTACACCTAACACACTTCAAAACTCACTTGTGATGGTATTACCACCCTTGTTGGCAATATTTTGAGGGCTCGAGCGAGCTCCAGTGACGCCGCCTAAGAGACCGCCAACACCACCAGCAGCACCGCCGGCACCGCCGGCACCACCAGCACCGCCTGAACCGCCTGTGACTGTGCCCACAACAGAGTTGAGCAAATTAGCACCAACTCCAGCAGCAATATCACCATCGACTCCAGTGATGAACGTGTTGCCATCGCCTCTAACCACATTCTTAGGACCCTCTGTTGATGACAGAGAAAGCTGATCAGATGAGGCTAACTTCACACTTGTGGGGGATGCACTTACTTGTGATGGTATTACCGCCCTTGTTGGCAATATTGCCAGAGATCGCCTGGGAGGCTGCTGAGAGTGAGGAACCGGCTGCGCTGCCACCTGTACCCTGGTTGCCTGTAACCGTTCCAACCCTGTTGGTCAGCACATTGGCATCCACGGCCGCAGGCACATCGAGACCCACAAGTTGGCCAAAGAAATTGTTATTTCCACTAACGATATTTTTGGGACCAGCTGGAAATGTAAATAATATTGAAGAAACTCCCTTAGACAAACGGGTGGGGCACCTACAAGTGATCGTGTTGCCACCTAGGTTGGCAATATTCCGAGGGATAGAGCTGCCGGAGGAAAGTAGAGATGAGACGGGATTGCCACCGGCACCAGAGCCAGTCACTGTACCCACAGTGTTGGTCAGGATGTTGGCACCCACAGCCGCAGGGACATTAGCATCCACCAGTTGTCCAAAGAAGTTGTTATCTCCGGTGACAACGTTTCTGGGACCAGCTGGAAAAGGGAAAGGGTTAAGTGGGGGAACAAAATGAGTGGAAAAATGCATACTTGATATCGCGTTGCCTGCCTGGTTGGCAATATTTCGAGACAGCGCGCTGACTGGGCTAGCGGCACCTCCGGCACCGGAGCCTGTCACCGTACCGACGGTATTGGTCAAGACATTGGCATCCACAGCGGCGGGAATATTGGCATCGACAAGTTGTCCAAAGAAATTGTTATTTCCGCTGATAATATTCTTGGCACCAGCTGAAAGGAGTAGAGGATCATTGACAGGGAGACCAATTAGATTGCTTTCGGACCACACTCACTTGTAATCGAGTTGCCTCCTTGATTGGCAATATTCAGAGGCAGCGAGCCGCCCAGCAGGCCGCCAACAACAGGAAGAGAGCCACTGGAACGCTTGGCGGTGGGTGCGTCCTTGCCAAGGGGTACATCAGGATTAACCAAGTTCGCCGATTGCTCTGCAACGATCAATGACTACAGTGACAAATCAGTTCTCAGCTGGTGCTAGCTTACGTATCAGCGTGTTGGAGGTTGTGGGCAGCGAGCGATCGAGTGCGGTCATTAGACCCATGATAATGACCTTTGCTACGCCCATGTCCAGCAGACGAACAATCCAACTGTCTGGCGTGGCCGCACAGAAGCCGCTCTTGTTACCATTCGCAATAGACGTCAAGCTGTCGGTTAGGGAAATAATTAGCGTGCTAAATCCGTTGATCTGCAGCACGTTGACGCCCGAATCCTTGCTGTCGTCCTTGGGACCCACTAAAGGTTGAGGGGAAGGGAAATTGAAAGTTAGAATCGACTGGACTCTTTGCCCTCTAGCAGTCGCAACTTACTCTCAACCAGATTCTGCACAATTCGCTGAGTCTCGACGGTGGAGGCGCCGCACACTTGGAGCAGGGTGCTCAATATGGCGCTCAGCTCGGATACGCTGCGTTGCTGCAGGAAATTGACAATCGATTCGCGGTCGCCTTTGATGTTGGCCGCTTTGTCCGCCTGCTGGAGGGCTGTGCGCGTGCTGCGACTGCCCAGCATGGGTAGGTCGGAAGCCTTGACGGATGTCGTGCTCTTGATGATCTGCACCACTTGCTTCTGCGAGCACTCGATGCTGTTGAAGGAGCAGAGGGCCAGGAAGGATTTCAGACTGAGCGTCAGGCTGTTTTTATCCGTCGACCTCTTGATGTCCTTGATGACGCGATCACAGCTGCCGCTCGCACTGCTGCCAATCAGCACATCGATGATCACATCCATGCCCACCTGCAGGAGCACAGCACCGGCCTGCAGCTCCGTCGCTTCCATGTCGCGCAGGGACTTGACCGTCGCTTCTTGGGAGTCCGATAGCTTGATGCCTCGCGCCTGCATGCTGGCCACAAGCAGATCAGCCAGGTCCTTCGCCGCCAGTCGTCCGATATTCCCAGCTCTTCTAGCCGCTGCCGACGACGCTGTGGTTGGAGCCGCTGTTGAGGTCGTGGTTGGCTTCGCCTCGAACGGTATGAGGAAGCCGGTAGATAGAATCAGAAAGAGCTGAAGGCGCCACATATTGCTGTCCTTGTCCACTTGCACTTTTCACTTTGTCTGCACAGATTTCTCAGAAGTGTGCCCAGATGATCGCAACCTGAGCGATTGATATTGATGGACAGTGGGCGAAGCGCTTTTATGGCTATGCCGGCCTCTTTGTGCTGATTTTTATCAGCTGCGCTGTGAGTAAATGCGGCTACTTGTCGCTGCTGCTGATAACGCCCCATCGGCCAGAAGACCCAAAGATAATCGTGTCGTAAGCGGTGTTGGCATGCAGCAAACGTGACCACAAATCGCCAAACACCATCGGCGTTGATGTTGACAACAGCGACTTGATTTCGCTTCGCTTGTCACATTCGCATTCTTCTCGCATTATTTGTCATCTGCGGTTTATCTGCCGCTGCGGTCCCCAAGATATCCAAGCTCCTAAAACTGTCTAGGTAAGATCTTGTGCGTCTAACTTATGTAGATCCCAAAGAAGTAGATCTTTAAACTGTATCTTTACATAGTTATATCGGAAGATTAAAATCCTATATCCTTATAAACTTATTCCTGCTTCATAAAGGTTTTTGTTTGGGATGATCTTTGGAAATACAATCAATTCTTCTCTTCTTCTTTCAGATATTGACTACATTGAACTGCTATATCATATTGGAAATAAATGCAAATGGTAGACTTATTTTAGGTTTTCCTCTCAAGTATTACTATTCTAGTGGCTCTTTCAATTGATCTTCATCGATCAATTCTCTAGCAATGCAATGGCTAATCTCTTAGCCTACGCTCGAGCCAAAGACACAAAGAGAGCGGGCGAGATAGTGAGAGAGAGCTGCATACATGTATATCTAAAATAAAAGCTCGCTCGAACTGTAGCTCAACAGCCATGAAATTAGAAGCTGACCCAGATACTGAAGCAGAGCCGCAGTTAACAATTAATCTGTTACTGCTGGTCATGCACGTGCCCAGAGCCACTGTGTGGCGTGGACAGAGCTTGGATGCTCCGATTTCCGCATAGAGATACGGAGCAGCGGAGCTTGGTATAAAATGCTTAAATCGCTAACTGTGGGCAGCCAGTTAGAAATTTGACTAACAACCCAACAGCCTAAGCATCCCAGCTGAGTCCCCCACACAGATAGCAAATGTCCGCCCTGAGCCATGATCAACGTTTCGTGCTGGTGCTGCTGATTGCCACGGCCAGCGGTGCTTGGCTCATCGCTGGCACCACGGCGCAGACCTTCACCGCAGAGGATCGCAATGCCATACAGAAGTTTATGGATGTCTTGTTGAATTTCCTCGACGCCGAGGCGGAACCATCGAATGCCACCACCACCGAGAGCCCAAATAATGCCACCACCACGGATCCGCTGGAGAGCACCACCTTGGCTAGCAATTCGACAAGCCCCGACGACGAGTCCACAACAGCGAGTAATTCGACGAGTACGGACAGTGAGCCGACGAGTGAGAGCACAACTCCAGCGACGAACGCCACGAGCGAATCAACCACCGCCATCAGCAGCACCACCCAAGTCAGTGCGGCGCCCAGGCGTATGTGCTTCAAGCGGGTCTGCTACAAGTTCGTGGGCGACAGAGGATATATTTTTTAGCTAAGCCTATCGAATGCGACGAATAAACTCGTTACTCGTTACTTCTATGAACTACTCGTTGTTCTCATTAAACTGCACCCAAATTGTATAACTCGAGCTATTTTGAGTAAAGCTAGTTAGTTGAACTCGTTACTCTGGCCAACCCTCAGTATGCCTTTAGCCTAGCTATAAATAACTCGTTACTTCAATTAACTCTCGTCATACCTACTCGTCATAGAACACAATCTAGCTGCAAGATCTGTAGTTTCCTCGATTCTCGCTCTACTTTATCTGAAATACCCAAACAATGTTTTCTTTGTGTGTTTATAAACTCACAGAAATTCGTTCGTTTAACACAATCCCTCATGCTTGGCCATGAGAATTTGTTTGTTTCATTACTGTCAAAGCTGTCAAAAGTTTCAAGACTCTGAAACAATATTTATTTGCTGTATTTAAAGCTACTTATTCTATCAATAGCCAGCAGACGAAAAGGGAAGGAGGCTGAGGGACTCGTTACATTGAAGTTAGCTCGTTACATGAACAGCGCTGTGAATGGCTTTTGCACTTGCCGCCGACTATAAATGATTGAAGGCTTTTTAAAGACAAAGCCAATTTGCAAAACGCCATCGAAACATGATTCAGCAATAAATGGCAAACAAAGCGCCAAGTTTGCTGTCAGAAGTTTGTTGCTGTTGCCAATCCCAAAACGAATTATTTCAATTAAAAGTTTTGGGTGCACAGTTCTTAATACTGTCAACTTGGTCGTTTATGTGCCCAAGTCTTAATTGTCCCAGCAATACGTACCATAATTCTCTGTAAACAGAGCGAGAGCCAAAACAGAGTGAGAGTGAGAGCGAGAGCGACAGTGTGAGTGAGACACAGGCACATGTTGACCAACAAACTGACAAATAAAGCCCATGGGCGAAAGCTTTGTGGCTTCTCAATGAGTTGTAAACAAATGAAATTTTATTCGTTAAAAGATTTTCGGAATATATTGTGCAAATAGTTGACGCCAACGTTGATGCGGCGCCTGCCAAAGAGAATTCTATAAATTTGCACCCGCCCCCGCCCCCAGTCAGACCTAAACGTAATGTGAAATGGCTGTTTGCCAGTCGACGTGTGTTTGTGCGTGTGTGTGTGTGTGTGTCTGTCGTACGCAATTGCCCACATAAGTAATTGCAAGCCAAACATTTAAAGCTAGGGAAATTCAATGGGTGAGTAAGCCAGCTCAATTAAAGCGGTATGTAACGAGTGGCTTAAACTAGAAAATCTTTTATAAAACAATTAAATGGAAATAGGAATAATTAATAACATCACCAAGCGAAACGAAATATGATTATGAAAAATTGCTCATCCAAGAAATAACAAAGAGAAGATCAACGAGTATATTTGTTTGTCAGACAAAAGTAACGAGTTCAGAAGGATAGTCAATTTTATTTATTTATTCATGTCTGTACTGTATGGCAATTTAGGACTTGTTTTAGTTGAAGCTACTAAAAGAAAGAAACTAAATAAATGTAATTAGCTGTAGCGAGAAAGAAAAGACTAGTGTGCAGTAAAAGAAAAAGTGGATTCCAATGATATTAATATGTTAGATATCATATTTTTATATAAAAACAGTAATAGCGAGTAAAGAGCGTAAAGAAACGTGCAAATGTAAATATATATATTAATATCGAGCAGCGAATAGCGAATAGCGAGTAATGAGTAGTGAGTAGCGAGTAGCGAAATTGCGAAATTGCGAATAGCGAGTAGCGAGTAGAGAGTAACGAGTAACGAGTAGCGAATAGCGAGTAATGAGTAGTGAGTAGCGTGTAACGAAATTTCGAAATTGCGAATAGCGAGTAGCGAGTAGCGAGTAGAGAGTAACGAGTAACGAGTAGCGAATAGCGAGTAGCGAGTAGTGAGTAACGAGTAGCGAATATTGAGTAGCGAATAGCGAATAGCGCGTAATTAGTAGTGAGTAGTGAGTAGCGAAATTGCGAAATTGCGAATAGCGAGTAGCGAGTAGCGAGTAACGAGTAGCGCGTATTGAGTAGCGAGTAACGAGTAGCGAATAGCGAGTAGCGAGTAGCGAGTAGCGAGTAGTGAGTAGCGAGTAACGAGTAACGAGTAGCGAATAGCGAATAGCGAATAGCGAATAGCGAGTAGCGAATAGCGAGTAGCGAATACCATCTGTCACTCGTCAGTGTTGCGATTGGAGGGTAAAGAGTGAGAAAAGGTTTTATGATAAAACTTTTATCAAAATGATACCCTATATCTATATATATTTAGAAGCAGCAACGAGCAATGAGCTCCAATTGAGCCATGACTTACGCATTTATCTACACGCATGGCCATCGCTAAATAGCTCTATCTGTACATACAAATCTTATCGCAATTGTTAATTGGAATATTTCAATTGTAGCGAATGCCGCATTTCTAACGAATAGTTATGACAAGCGGTGCGATGCAGGGCGGGGCACGTGAAAGCTTGTTATCTCGGCTCTGATGAGCCCAAATGTCAACTTATTAAGGGACAATTTTTGACTCATGTCCTTTGCGTGGCACGTGGCTGGGCTATTTAATTACTATCAGCTTATTGTTATTACTGTCCCATATGCGTCGACGACAACTTAACGAACTTATCACACACTGCTGGAGCGAGTGCGTCGGATTAGCCGATGGGTCGGTTCGCGTCGCATCGCGTGAAGTACTTTAAATTAGTTTCGTTGCATCAACAATGCAGCAAGAGACAAAGGACAACCCCCTCGCTGCGGCTACGCAATCAGAAACCAAATCAACCCCGCCCCGCCCTACAGTCGAGGGCCACGTGTCAGCCCGGCCAGGGGCTGGGGCTGCGGGGGTTGGGCTGGGAATTTTGGGGCACATTAGATGAGGCGACGCCGTCGTTTGTTTGTGGTCGCAGGAAGCGCGCTCAAAAAATATCCAATTACAATTTAATTAAGTTGCTTTTAATGTGGCGTTGCTAGTTCACAATTTTCCACAAATATTGTGAGCTATTCTAGTTAGTGTTGCATACTTTTGGGCTGATCGATTGAGAGCTATTCATGTTGCATACGCTGCGACGGCGAAGGGAAAGCCATAGAGACGGTTTGACTGTGTAACAATTTAAAGCGAAGCGCTACGAAGATGGATGGGCTACATAGAAATCTAGCAACTCCTCTGGACCGGCGGGGAATGATGTTAGCCCTAAATACTATAGCACAGCATAGATGGACTAGATCGAAGATATATGCTTATACTGGTATACTAATTAAGATTAAGTCTGAAGTGAATTGTCTAGTTTAATATAGTAAATAAAAAAATAGTCTGAATAGCAATTGATATCTATAATATTATCAATTTCAAACTGTATAAGAAGGAAGAGGAAATCTATAAATATTATATAGATACCTGGACTGTACGAGCTCCGTCACCCTCGTCTCATCTCATCTGAGAGTCTAAGTTGTCTTGAGTTGATATATGGAGGCTTTGTAGGAAGTACCATGGGTCAACAGTTACAGGGTATCTCAATGGCATTGCATATGCTGAGCTCCCATATCTCTGTGCAGCTATATCAACTCTGCATGCTACGATATGTACATAGAATTGAAGAACCATCCGCGCAACAGCTCACCAATCAAGCACAACCAGCTGAGCAACCCATTTGGGCTACTCCCATAGGGTATATGACAAGCCATTTTATGTAATCTCTGCAGATGCTTACAAAATATATAATATTTTAACAGTTGAGTGTATAAGTATACGACGAAGAGGGCTGTCTCCTGTCCCTGTCTCTCGCTTCCAATTGAGCCCTTTGGATGGCTATCGGATATTTACGATTTCACACACACACACACAAACACGCACGCATTTTCGCATCCTTTCGCAAGGCGCTGCAAATTTAATCATTTTCGTTGTGGCTGCTGCGTTTTATGAGAGCACGCGCTGCCGTCGTTCCCATACGCTGGAAGTATTGAGCGTGTATCAATAGGGTATATCGATGGCATGTTGATAATGTAATGTACAACATATAATAGATTGCAAAACAAAGTGGCATTCAGACTTTAATTAGGGTGAGCTGATGAAACATTTATAAAAGGATAGTTCAAGTGCCTCGCACAGGGTATTCGCTAGTCGTATACAATTGACTACAGCTCACTTTATGACTGTCTATGAAGTGTAAAGAGTGCACTGATTTTCTTCTACGTTCCTCTCGATGTCTGCTATTCTGTCTAAAACTGCAAAGCTAAAGATTTGAACAAATATTCAACTTTAAATTGAGATACGCCTGGATGATATATTCCCTGAGGTTTGTTCCCACAAATATATAATCGATCGCTCGAATCTAGATTAGGAATAAAATACATACATATGCTACTTGAGGGCGTGGCTAAATGGAAAATTCTATAACCTGTTAAGTCATCGAGCTCTTTCAGAATTGCTCCACTGTACCTCCTATAAATGCTATATTTCAGTCTATGGGGCACGAGAAGAGCTGTTTTCCGTCAACTGGGCGAGCATGATGCAGTCAGTAGCGCCGCTTGGCAATGTTCCAGGATACGAGCATATAAAAAAGAAAGACATTATTTTGGCCAACAAATGAGCCGCATCATTATCGGCAACAGCATCGATGACATGACCAACACAGAGTGTTGTCAGCCGTTGCTGTTGTTATTGTCCAACACTTTTTGTGAGTATTGGGCAGTGCTTACATATATTTTTACTGCGCAGCGTTTAAGTTTTATGAGCTGCTCAGCGTGTGGACCCGAAGCATAACGACAGCAACAGCTGCTGCCAAACAAGACAATCTCTCCCACACACACACACACTCTCTCTCCCTCTCTCTCACTCACTTCTGTCCATCTGTACTTGAAATTTTGGTTTGCATGGCTGAAGGCGCTTTCGAGTTGCACTTGAGACAGACGCAGCTTGTTTTTTGGTCTATGGCACAGTCAAGTGCCACTCGAGCGACAGAAACAGACAGACACACAGAGAGAGAGAGAGAGACAGAGAGAGGTCTCTAGCGGGACCTACTCAAAACGAAAGACTCAAGCCAAAAACTTGCGCTCGATAGGAATTTATGCAAACATCGGGTCAAACTAATTGCCGAGTGCGATTCTCGTGTTATGTGTGAACAGGAACTCTTGAGTTTTCGTTACAAGGATTACAAGCTGCAAATCCACTTGGCACATGACGCGCGCCCCGCTCCTCGCACCACCTGCGTCGCATTGTTATATCACTCATCCTCCTCCTTCTCCTCCTCTACCTACGTCTTCTTCTTCTACTTCTACTACTTTGTCTTTTTTGTTCATTGTTGTCAGTGGTTGAATTTGGCGCTTCCCTTGTTTCCTTTATGTAGCTCGCCCTGCATTGTCCTTTACACGCTGCTGTAACTTAATCCGCTTAGCTCTGCTTCTCTCTCGCTCTCTCTCTCTCTCTCTCTCTCTCGCTCTCTTTCTCTTTATCTCCCTTTGAACACTTGTCAGCAGTTGCCCCTGGAGCGTCAGCCACATTAACAAATATCGCACACACACAAGTGTTTGATGAGTTCACAGTCGAAATTGATTGATCGATCGATCGCCACAGGATGCGGATAATGGATAGGCTAGAAGACAGCCCAATGAATAGAATTTCAAGGTACGTATATAAGGAAATGGATTGAGATATCAAGACCTCAATATATAAGTGTTAGTTACTTCACACTCACTCAAAGCTACTCGCTATATATTGTCGTGACTACTCTTTACATTGGGACATTGGCACTCGATTCGATTGATGTAACTTGGCTTTGAACACGAGGAATATCAAGTGCTAAACGTTAAACGTTACTGCTCTATTTTACATCTGAGGCCTACTCGTTGTTTCACACCCACCAAAGATTACTCAATTACTCGTTACTTTTACTACTCGTTGCTCTAAAGCTTACTCGGTATTGTATAATCTATGTTGCTGTTAGTATCATAGCAACTCCTTAGCCTATATACTCTATAGCTACTCGTGATTTTCATTAGCTACTCATTATACCAAGGTATTCGTTTCTACCATTGATCCACTACTAATACGTCCTTCCAAGCAAGTCTCAATCTCAACTATCTCCTGCTCTTAGCTTATCAATCGAAAATAGAAAATTAAACTCTACTTTAACTTTTGCTCAATAATCTACACTCTCTTATCTTTACTCTGTCCACTTTCAATATTTTGATTCCATAATTGAGTGAATTTTAATGCCATTAGTCAAAAATCTTGGGACAGCATCTGTTTTCAGTCCTTTTACATCGATTTGAATATTTCGTTTTGGCACTCGTCGCTCGTCGCTCCCACGGTCAACGGTTTTACCATATCCGATTATCGGAAACGGATGAGCACAAACTGTGAACCGACGGGAATTGGCGAGCAAACAAACAAAGGCGGGCACCGAGCATGCTAAACCAAATAGGAACTGATACCGGCGAAGCGATTGCAACTGCGTCTTAATTTCGAGCCATGAGCATTACATAATCAACAGCAAAACAACTGTTCCTTACACACACACGCTCTCTCTCCCTCTCTCTGCCTCGCTCACTGTCCTACTCTCTTCTGGGTTTTATGGCTATGACAAAGGAAAAGCCGCAACGACCCTTGAGGTAATAGAGAATAAAACAAAGCCATACCGCCGCGAATTCGCTAGAAATGCCACGCGGTAATCACAAATATTGACATTTCCTTAACATTCAAACAGAGACAGAGAGAGAGACAGCTCTCTCTCTCTCTCTCTCTGGCTGTCTGTCTGTCTGTTGGTAGGTAACCTTATACCCACTTTTGGGCTTCATTCACAATAGCCACACATTGTGCCTATCAATAAATAGCACAAAGCACTTTTTGTGCTCAGCAATTCACGATTCTCGATTCATTCCTTTATGAGTTCATTGGGTTTCCAAATTGGGCTGGTTAGAGAGCTTCGATAAAAACTATCCGATTACTTCAGCCTGCATTTCACACGCTCATCTAACGTTCCTCGCATTCTTATCATGTTTTCCAAATTGGCCTGGTCAGCTGGTTCGACATTTGTCTTCAATTAAAGATGAGTCGGGAAAATCTGTTTAAGGGAAAACTTAATATTTGGTCAGATAAAATTACAATATATATATTTTTATTCAGCGAAGTAGCTTAGAAATTGTATTAATATATGTTGTCTTCATTATATTTAGAGTAATATTATGTGTTTTTTAAACTTACTTTCCATCTATTTTTTACAGTTTTTTCCAGAACTAAGAATCGGAAAGATTTTCAAGAATAAAATAAATAAAAGATAATTTGGCGCTTAAATTTATTTAAGACAAAACCCATAAAAGGTTTCAACCACATAACAAATCAATTTCAGATTTAAGGAAACTACCTGAATTACCCTCGTAAAGGTAGAGCCATAAAATACCTTAACTACTGAGCTAAGATTTTACCTGTGAATGAGGAACGACGCCAAGCAATTAAGTAGATCTAAGGAATAAGAAGAAATTATGCTGAGAGTGATGCGAGTAGGAGAAAATAAGAAAGAGCAATCGAAAGATATACTGTAAGGCAAAGAGAGGGATAGAGAGAGCGAGATAGTAAGAGGAAGGGAAAGATAGTAGGACATAATGAGAGATATAGCAAATATGAGAGATAGATATATATAACTCCCTATATATAACTCTCTATATACATATATATATAAAGAGTTATAGAGAGATGGAATGACAAAGAGAGAGGGACAGAGAAAAAGAAAGAGGAAATCAATTAGATTGTAAGAGAAAGAAATGCGGAGAGAGAAAGTCAGATAACCTCTAACTCACAAGAGAAATTTAGAGATAGAGAGGGAGAGAGAGAAAGAGGGATAATCTCTTACAAGTGAAGAGCTATTTAGAGATAGAAAGAGAGAGAGAGGGAGACAGCGAAAGACAAAGATATACTCTTATCTATCGAGAGCTTTTTAGAGATTGAGCAAAACAGAAAGATATAGAGAACGAGATAATCTCATATTGAACGAGCTGAATGGATTAAGCCCACTCCGTCTGTCTGTCCGTCCGTCTGTCCGTATGTATGAACGCGTCGATCTCAGAAGATATAAGAGCTAGAGACTTGATTTTCTTTTAATGTCCGTAAAAAAAAAAAAATCCATCCATAAGAAAAGTTATTGAACAATTAAGTTCAAGTACATGTTGTTTCTTGTGTAAGAAGATTCGAAGAATTATTGAAATATCAGTTGCTCGAAGGCTTCAGGGGATCTCGTACTCGAGCAGTCTCGACTAAAGCTTTCTTACTTGCTATGAATTATATTTTTATTCGAAAATTTACACACAATTATCAAGCTCAATAAAATCAATTTGATCAATAATATTCAAGAACTTTGGAGACACTTTAAATAATGCTGATTTGATTTTAAAAAATTCAAAATTTCCCGCCAGCAGTTAGCTTACGATTTTTCCTGCATTTGGCAGTGGGAAAAAGCCAAATCTGGCCGGTAAAAAACTAAGTTGGCAGCCCTGCATCTTATCAAAAATTTTTTGTTTTCTGGGCCAAATTAATTTCAAGGAATTAAGCCAACAACAAAAAATATTTCGCAACTATTCGCGGCCCTCATGAATCCGAAATGCGGACTATCATATTACTGTGAAATGGCGTAGAGCACAACAAAATGAAGAGCTTCATCGTCGTCCACATGTCGACCACAACAAAGAGACCTGCTGTCGCAGCTCCTGTCGCCGCTTGGGGAGTTGTGTGTAATCTAGACTCGCTCAGCGCCGCAGCTATTCAAGAGCTAATAATTATAACAGAAGTGCCCGGGCAGCCTGCCGCCTGTTGTGGCATCCAATCCTCGCCCCGCGACGCCCCCTCGCCGGGCCAACCATATAATGTGTTTAATGGCGCCGCATTATCCACACATTGCCTGGCCGGCTGGCCACGGCCGAAGCTGAAGCCGAAGCCTTAAATTTGCACAGTTCGTCCTTTGGGCCAGCAGAAATTACTTTGTTTAATTTTTGTTTTTTTTTTCCTGTGTCTCTTATACGCATGGATGTGTGCGTGTGTGCCTGGGTCTATGTGTGTTTGTTCTTGCTTCAAAGCAGCATTGTTAAGCCGCACCACATGCAGACATACTTTGTGTCTGACCACATGGCATAATGAGTCTGTGTGTCCTGCCTGCACAGGACATGCGACTAAAACCAGCTCAGGTGTGCGTAGGTGTATGTGTGTGGGTGCATAGGTATCTACGTGGGTCGCTGGACACCAGGATATTTGCGGTTGTGCAACAAAAATAACCCATTCGTTTGTCCGACTGACTGCAAAATTTGAATGCTCTTGAATGTCCTTTGTGTAACATTAACACTCGATTGATTTTTTGATTGACCATCAACACGATTGCCACTTCAAATGTCCACACCTAGGAGGGCTATAGATTTGTATAAGAATAGATAGATCGACTATTCAATCGATTATTACTTGCCCTTCTATTGATCAATCTTGAATCAACCCTTCTACCAATAGTCAAAGTTGTATCAGTCAATTATTCAATCTTTGTCAATCAATCTAAAATCTAAAATCAATCACGTAATACACAATTTCTTCACCAGTTACAATCACTGCTATGATCTGCAGTCAATCACTGACCCCAGTTAACGCATCACGTCAATCTAATGGCTCAGTATTTACTCAATCGTTACTCAAACCTAACCAGTTACTGCAAGTCAATATTTGATAGTCAATCGCTACACGTCAGTCACTATATGCCATGTCAATCTCTACATTAGCCCCATTCAATCCTTAGTCCATTACAAGCAAGCGATGTTCAATCAACTGCCAGTTAATCTATGATAGTCAATTGCTGTTGGTCAATCAGCCTTCGGGTCGATCTTTACTTTGGTCCCATTAAGTCAGTCAATCAGTCATCAGTCAAACAACGACAGACCACCGCCACAAGCGTTAGTCAAGCACTGTCAATCGTTCACAGCGACGAACCTCTTCAATCATGATTGCAATCCGTTCTCTCACAAGATTACTGAAAACACGTGTAATTTTTTTTGTTTTTTTTTTTATTTGATGCATTCCAAAGATAAACAGATAATTTTAACACCAATTGCTGCACAATTGCATTTCCAAATGTGGTCTTTACCGGAATTTACGAAAACTATTTGTACATCTTGAAATTTGTGATTGATTCTGTGGAGGAAGGTACGATTAATAGAAGTACAAATGGGGGAAGCGACGTAAACGTACCCCATACGTGTGATACGACTGTTTGTTCCGTGTGATACGTCCTTTTGTATTTATGTATGTGTTGCATGCCATGCCCTATGAGAGGGAGGACGACATTCTTAATAGAGTAACACTTAGTGGATGGATCAAAATACTTACGCCCAACAAATGATTGCAGAAAATATATAAAAATATATATCTTCATTTTTTTCATTTTTTTTTTTTTTTTTTTT